GAGAGAGAGAGAGAGAGAGAGAGAGAGAGAGAGAGAGAGAGAGAGAGAGGAAAAGGCAGAGGGAGAGGGGGAGAGGGGATCTGTTGCAGGCAGGGGAAGGCGTGACCTGAATGGAGAATGCCAGCCAATTCCAGAGACACACAGGGACCTCAGAACAAAGATAAGGCATCGCTGACACCACACCAGGGACACGCTCACAGACGAGTCAGGCTGGGGGGACCAAGGCCTGGCAGCCAGGAGAATCCCGGGCAGGAAAATGAGGTGAGTGCCATGGTAGAAATGGGCTCGGTGCCCTTTGGGGGACCAGAGATCATGAAGCCCTGTTGGTTCTGACCTTGTCTCTGCACAGACTCACCTGCATGTTCCGCGGGTGGGTGGTGTTGAGCAAGTTCTCCTCAATCCTGGGGGCTCTGGGAAGGGGAAAATGGGCTGGGCTCGCTCCCTGAGACTCCAGAGATGCGCAACTTGAGACGAAGACTTTATACAAACCCTGCCCCACGCAAGCTGCAGAAGCTCAGGTTTCTGCCGGTGCCCGCACAGGGTGCTGCCTGCTGGCCAATGTGACTTTTCCTCCTGTTGCCCGCAAAGCTGACTTTTCGTTTTTTGTCCGATACAAAGAGGGTTGATTAATCTCTTCCCACGTTTTCGGTTAGATATGTGTTTGTGTGTTTATTTGTCTGGCCGGAAAAGGAAGCAGCTTCCCATAGCTCAGCTCTGTGATTTCTTAAACCTTCAGAAGTTTGTCAGCTAAAACCTCAATTTAGAAAACTAAAAACCTGTCCTCATTTTACAGTTTGCTATAAATTTCAGCATTTCTTGCTGAAATCAGAGGCAGCTGGTGGCAGGAATAGGCTATGAATTGCACCAAAAGGCTCTTAAAGGGACACCACAAATTTTAAAAGCAAAAAGAAAGTAAGAAAAGAAAAAAGGGAGATTTGGAGTGCTGATGAGTGAATTGTTTTTAAGTTCTTCGATACTTTTTAGCGCTTACCCTGTGCTTACTTGGCTTAGTGTTACTTGAGCCTTTTTACCAAACATGCTTTATGTGTTTTCTTCTGAAAGTCTCAAAACTCAACCACTGTAACTATTTTTACTACTTGTAAGTGTTAATGCTGGTAAAAATACAGAAGAAAAAGGCAAACACTGCACATGTGTTAAGTCCCCACACACCTCTTTCTTCACTGATGTTTTTTCTCAGTGGGGAAAGGCTATCTATACTATCTATACGTTTCCTTCCTGCAAAGTCACCTGGCAAGTTTTCTGGCTCTGGGTTCAATGAGGTGCTTCAGACTGTGTTAACTCTTGGGGTTCAAATTACCTGCTGTGGTTTAAGTAAGTAATCTCGGTCCTTTCGTCCATTCAATCACTTTAAACCCTTTGGAATTTTAAACCTGCCATCTAGCTTCGTTTTCCTTTCTCCTGAAACAGGAATTTTAGGCGAAATTCACACCCTTCCACATTTGATGGATCTGTTCACTATCAGAATGTTACCCAACTACCCAGTGTTCCACTGTACTAACTTCAGGACTGATTAACAGTTCTGTGTCTCTGTGTTTGCTCACCCCTTAACCCAGAATAGCTCTCCCTCTTATTTTCCATCTGGAGGTCCTTGGTCATTCAAGTTTCACCTCCTCTTCTCTGGCAACACCCCCACCCCCAGAATGAGCATCTCCTCTTTTGTGCTATCTCCATTCTTTGAAGCCACATCCCTACTGTCTTTGAAATATGTCTTTGTTTAAAGGTCCATCTTCTCTTCCAAGACTAAGTGTTTCTTAAGGTGCAAGATTGATGGCTTCTTCATCTTTGCATGACCAGCACCTAGCATAATCTGTTTCCTATTAAGCCTTCCATTACTACTGGCTGAATTGAAAAAATAACTGTTTTGAGCAAAACTACTACTGGGAGAGTACTCCACCAGAAATCTCTAAAGGATCTTGTCTCACCGAGACACAGCACTTTCAAGTCTTCAAAATATTTTCTTAGACATTGTTTCACAAAATGACCCAAATCTTCAGATTTTGGATGAGATTAAGCTTTATGGAGAAAATGAGATTACAAACAGAGAAGCCTCTTACTCATAGTCATACTGATGATCTTGAGAAAGCCACTCAAACTTGGACTCTTGGGCTCCAAGTTCAATGATTTTATTTTTTTTTATTCTATTTCACCAGACTCAAAACTATGTCTATTACTCTACACCAGAAGTTCTTAATCCTAGCTGCATGTTAGAATCATCTGTGATGCTTTTAAAAATACCAGTGACTAGACCTCATACTCCAGACCAATTATACAAGAATCTGTTTGGAAGGGGCATTGGTATTAGTATCTTTTTTTAATTTTGCATAAAGCCATGGGCTTTGTGAATCATTTTTCACAGTATTAATTGCTTTGGCCACATGCCTGGGCATGAGATGGGCATGGACCCAGCTTCTTCTGTGAGCTTTCGTTATTCTTTCTTCTGTTGAAGTTATTCACCATATGGTATTGGGCATCACACGTCACCTCTTGTGGTATCCTTTTGATCATCTGTCAAATAAGGGTGTGTCCAATGGATCTGCAGTGTCTCTTTCACTCCTCTTCTCAAAACAGTGTTGGTGTGATGTAGATTGAAGTGAGGGGTGTGCGTGGAAAGAAAAGAGAGCGCTGTTCTGTCCACCATCATGGAAGTGTGCAAGCAGTCATATATATATATTATATTCGCACATAATATATAGTCGTATATATATTATATATTCCTGATAGGCTGCTCCTGTGTGGAGCCTAGGAAATCTCAGTTTTGTATATTACTTTTGACATTTCAAGCAAATGCAGCTAAACTTTTTGATTAGCTGGAGAATAGATAGCAGGTGTCAGGAATTGTACAGCCAGTTCCTGGTGCATGAAGAAGCCAAAAACGCTCAGAGATTGAGAACGAAATCCGCTACTTCTCGTTCCTTGCTTTGCAGCCCCTAAAGCGAGCAGGAAGCATATGTTCAAGCCCATTATGTGAAAGGAGCTATTTGTTTCATGTTTGAAACTGTTTTGAGATGCAAACAAAATAGAACAGAAAGCTTCACAGCCTTCCGCCCACGCTAACCAGTTGCCTACCACAGGCGGTTCTGGGCCCCCAAGGCTGGATGGGACTATCAGCAGGCCTTGACAGAACCAGCTAGGACATGCAGGGTCCCCTCCCTGCGGTCTTGACAAAGCAGACATGGAGAAAGTTGACCTTTCAGCCTTGCATAATCTGGTGTCACTATTGCAGGGAAGGGTGATTTGGGAGCCAAAGCTCATTCCTAACCCTTGTTTTTCGGGAAAGCAACATGATGGAGTAATCCTCACTAATGTTTGCCTAGGGCTGGACAGTTAACAGTGTGCTTTCCAAACCTCCTTTGCTTTGATAGCCGCCCTGTGGAAACTCATTAGTATCACCACTTAATGGATGAAGAAATGGAGACCTTAAATGGCTTCCCCAAGATGGGTCAGATAGATGAAGTCAAAGGCTAGACTAGTATCAGGTGCTTCTGATTCAAGACCTATGCTCTTCCCGCTCCAGGCAGAACTGAGTCAGAACTGCCAGCCCTGTCAGCATCCTGACATGACAGTGGGTCCGCATTCAGGGCTTCTGGACCCAGCTTCCTGCTAATTCTCTGGACAGCTTAGCTCCATGCCTTCCTTTCTCTCTGCCCTTTCTCTCCACAGGCTAGTAGGAAAAAAAATAGCGATTGAATTAAAACATCTTGTTTCCTTAGCTCCATTCACATATTGCTGTTGAGGGACTTCAGAGAAATTTGAATAACTTCATTACTTTCTTTTTATTGAAAAAATAGTATAAAATCCTGCTAGACAAATTGGAACATTTCATATGCACAAAAATAAAATTAAGAACACTCATGTTCCCACTTCAGCAATAACCACTGTTAATAACTTTGTGCATATCCTTCTAGGACTTCTTACATTTATACACATACACATTTATACACATAGATAATATGTAAGACTGGTGGGTGAGATATGTATATAGCTGTAGCTATCTTGTGTCTACATACTCCAAAATTCACATGTACACATATATGTACTTGTGTACAGGGGATTGAGTGCTAGAGAGATACAACTTCCTGACCAACAAATGTGTAGCTGATAATGCAAAGATACTAGTATAATGTTCCAGCGCTGACTTTCTAGGCAATATAAGACTCTATCTCCACTTTCACCATTTATTGTCATCTATTATACTCCAGGCTCTGTACGAGCTCCTGTATATACATAATCTCTAATACTCCTGTGAGCCATATAATTAGAGATTTTAATTCTATTTTTACCTATGAGGAAACTGGGACTCAGAGAGATTAATTACCCAAGATTTCACAGCAAAATATGAGAATTAGGATCTCAACGCAAATACATCTAACTCTAGAAACTATGCCTAAGGCCAGGCAGTGTGATACATGCTCTTTTAAAGGCATCTGCAGGGAGCTGTGGAAGAGTCAAGGAGACTCCACATCCAGGAAAACGGAACTGGGCAGAAGAGAATAAATAAGACAAAAAGGCAAGGAACGAGCAGGACACATGCAGTGGGCTCAGGCCTGTGTGAACACGGCATGCTGGCAGAATGATTTGCCAGAGTGACGCAGGAATGAAGTTGGCCAGGCAGATAATACTAGATGGAAAAGGCTTCATCAGCCATTCCAGGAGCAGATGCTTTAGTGTGCAGATACAGGGGAACAGCATGGTCACATTTGTGTTCTAGAATATCAACTATGGCTGAAGATTGTTGAATGGTATAACATGTGGGGGCTGGAGAGCAGGGAGGTCAGCTTGGAAGCAATAGCAGTAGAACTGATCCAAAGTTTAAACTAATTGACTGGAGAGAAGGTTGTAAACTCCCAAAACATAAGAAGCCAAATAAATAGGACTTAAGGAGGAAGTTTATGAGCCAAATTTAGGATGCTTGTGTCCAAGGTCAACAGCTCTTAAAGAGAACAATTTATTTGATGTATGGTGTCGTCTATAATGAACATTAGGGTTTGAGCAGCTGTGGTCACTCTTCCTCGTTATTGTATCAGTTCTCTTGGGTGTATTCTGTACATTTTATTGAGTTTTCCTTATCCTTTATGCAAAGATTCGAATAGTCCATTATCTCAGACCCCTACGATTAGAAATATGGTGTATGGTTTTGTCCTTTATAAGCACACTTAGCAAGTTGGGGGGGGGGGAGGAATTGTTTGCTCATTCTTTCTTTAGTCAAAACTTTTCATACCTTGATTGATTTTGTGACATCTGTTTAAAGTCCTGCAAATCCCATCATTGAGTACAATCTTATCCTATTACGGTTACTGTTACTATTGCTTTTCAGAAAAAATGAATCAAGAGTTTATGACTCTTGCACCGGATTATGCAAGGCTGAAAGGTCAACTTTCTCCATGTCTGCTTTGTCAAGGGAGGGGACTTTGACAAAGGGAGGGGACTCTGCATGTCCTAACGCTGGTTCTGTCAAGGCCTGGTGATAGTCCCATCCAGCCTTGGGGACCCAGAACCGCCTGTGGTAGGCAACTGGTTAGCGTGGGTGGAAGGCTGTGAAGCTTTCTGTTCTATTTTGTTTGCATCTCTTAAGGAAACTGAACTGAAGAAGTGATGTCAGCATTTACCTAATTATGAACTTTACATTTTCATATGTAAAATGGTGTATGTTGGAATCCCAAAACTGGTATTTTCTGGGAAAATTTGAATACTATTATCAAAACTTCAGACTGGAAGAAATCTCAGAAATGATCTAGTTGCTATAGTATGCTAGTCACTGTATTGTTGACAGGGTAAGTAAGGCCCAGGGAAGAAATGTAATTACAGCAGGACGGTGACAAGGATGGTGTCTTGTTGTGAGTTGAGTTCAACAGTGAGGACCTGTGTCCCTGAACGTAAGCAGATTCATTTGTTTTCCAGGTGGCTCCTTCTCTGTCATGCCCTGTGCTTCTCCTTGTCAAAGACTATGGCCCACACTGTAGAGCTCAACAACATGTTTGGCCAGATCCAATCACCTGGCTACCCAGATTCCTATCCAAGCGACTCAGAGGTGACTTGGAATATCACTGTCCCTGAGGGATTTCGGATCAAGCTTTACTTCATGCACTTCAACTTGGAATCCTCCTACCTTTGTGAATATGACTATGTGAAGGTGAGCCTCATATGTTCTCTAACTGGACTAGGTTCTCTACTAAGACTTAGAAAAGTTAAATGCTGTGCTCATCCCCAAAGGGTGGCCAGTCCAGAGATATACACAAGAGATGAATGAAGGTTGGGCCTGTATACCAGGTGCAGTTGGAGTGAGTAGGCCTGAGAAGCAGGTCTTGGCCACTTAGGTACAAGTTCAATCCCCACCCTGGAGGTGACCCACACGGTGCAGCAGACCTCTCCTGTCTTGCCCACTGTCCCCCTCAGCAGTGTACTTCATCCATCTGCCTGTTCCTCTCCCCACTCTGTCTCTGGTGAATCCTCTCACTGCCCCTGCACCTCTGGCCTGTACTCCCCACTGCTCCCCACTGTAGTTAGAAGGATCCCCCTGACTAGACAGGATTTGGATTCATTGCCATGCACAAAGTGTTCTTTACATCAAGTGTCTTCTGATCAGATCCAATCATACATTGGTGTGAACCATGAGGGAAACTGACATGAGCAAAGTGTGACTCACCAAACACAACCACCCCTTTTGCTTGTGTTCTCCTTTTTTTTTTTTAAAGACTTATTTATTTATTCATACAGAAGTGGGGTACAAGCCAGAGGAGCAGAGGCAGTGAGAGGCTTCACCAGAGACAGAGTGGGGAGCAGAACAGGCAGATTATGGAAATACACAACTGAGGGAGCAGTGGGCGGGTCAGGAGAAGTCTGCCACGCCATGTGGGTCAGCTCCAGAGCCAGGGATCCAACTTGCACTGAAGCGACTGTGGCTAACTTGCAGTGCTGTGTCCTAACCCACTGAGCCACCAGGGAGGGCCTTGTGGTCTGCTTTTTAATGTTTCCACTAAACTCTGCTTCAAAGTCACCTTTAATTCAACCATTAGAGAAAGTCAGAGACACCAGAGTAAATACTAATCAGAATGAAACATAGTTATGTTCCAAAGCTGAAGCCTCAGAAGCACTGCCCAGTTCCCTAAGAAATGATGGAGTATTGGGGAAATACAGAGGTTACAGTAGTAGACCAGAAGGCGAAATGAGAGGCTGGATTGGGGTGAATTCTGAAGGGCCTTGAATGTCATGCTAAAGAGTTTGAATTTCATCAACAAAGAGCATGCACAGGGACAAAGTTTGAGGGGATCATTATTAGAAGTGGATTTAAAAACATAAGAAAGAGGAATAAAAAATGCTTATAACCTCAAAACAACACTCCTTGGAATTTAGATAGAAGCCACAGCAGGGCCTTGGATAGGAAGCAGTTCTCCTTTAAAAGGTTAGGGTATTTCTGAGTTCAAGCTTGTGAGGTATATCTGATACAAAAAGGTATAAAGACCTAAGAACCTACTTTCTAGTCAGGCTCTCTCTGACTTCCTAGAAAAGGGTCTCCCCAAACCACTCCAGAGTAGACTTGTGGTCTCCTTTTTCCTCAGACTGTCATTTAACGATTTAACCTTGTAGTAACCACAAATTGGATCAAAAGCAAGGAAGTGATTGTCTAATACTATTACACTTATAATCTCACTGAACCTTTAAAACAATCCTATGATGTAGGTATTGCTATCGCATTTTACGGGCAATTAAAAACCTGAGCAGGTGGAACATCTCACCCAAGGTTGTACAGCTAGTAAGTGGTTGTCCAGGTTCCACAGCCATGCCTTGTGACTTTGAACGTGATGCTCCTTTGACTCCCTCATGCTGCTCACAAGCTGTGCTCCATGACACTGCCCCATGACACTGGAATGGTTGACATATTTGAATGGGGTGGGGAGGATGAGATCTGGTGAGGTTTGTAAACACTTACTCAGCTTAAACTCGTTTTCAAAGTTTAGTTTGGTGTTGCAGATTGTACACATTGTGTCTGCATGAGACACCCCATTTACAACCCCATTTTTGTGGCTAAAATTAGTGTTTCATTGCAATTTCTCAGTCTCAGCACTATTGACAGTTTTAATTTTTGCTGCAGAAAGCTGTCTTAAGAATTGTAGTATTTTTAGTTGCCTCTTTGACATGTACTCGCTGAATGCCAGGATCTCTTCCCATGCAGTTGGCACAACCAAAAATGTCCCCAGACATTGCCAATATCCCCAAAGCAGCAAAATCTCCCCATTTGAACACCACTGCTGCTCATGGGATGCTGCCCCTATTTCAATGGCTTGGGTTAGAGATGATGAGAATGTGGGCTACAAAAGATCTGATCCCCTATAAAAACAAATAAATTAAGAAATAGCCATTGCAAAAGGTGGAAACAAGTAAGGACAGTGAAAGACTGACATGTATAAAGAGAAGAGGTGGAACTGGTTCCTCTGAGATAACAGGAAAGGGAAGCAGATTCATACAGCTTCTTTGTTATTCTTCTTTTCATTGTACAAATTGCATAGAAAAAATAGGCAATACAATTCTACTTCATAAATACCTGTTATTAATATGTCAAAATTTTGATAATGGATATAGTCTTTTGTGTATTTAAGGTCCCACATGTGGGCTTAGCTGACTAGTCAATGGTTTTAATCTTTGGTATAGGTTTTTTCAGTATTTAATGACCTCTGATTTTTAGCACTATTGAAATTTATGAATAGATGAATCATAGGAAAGATACATCAAATTTAATATCCTCTTAAATCTCACTGAAAAAGCTAATTTCTGTGCTGGAAAGAGACTCGTCCTTTCTTGACCCACCTTTCCCCTGGTAGGTGAGCTGTGCTTCACTGTTCTCAGCACTAATTCTGGGCAGAATCCTGAGTCAGTGACAAGCCCAATTTGCTGCTCTTTCCTTGACACACAACTTGTATAAATTTATAAAAAATGGAGCCAACTTCTCAGCATCACAAGGATAAAGCAGGGGATATTCACCAAGACCTGATGTGTTCATCATCCAAAACTGAACTTTTTGATAGAAGATCAGTTATATCTTCCAGGATATAATGTAACCTCTGCAGAACTAATTCAAAAATAAGATGGTTTCTGGATAGACACCACTGAGTTACATAGGATCCCTCAGCCTGTTTCCCCCAACTAATGCTGATCGTAAAACCATGGTATTTTCAAACATTTGGGTGGAGTCTGGTATTGATCAGAAAGAAAATGACCAAACATGGCATAAGATGACAGTGACTTCCATAGATTCAGACAAGGCGAGGTATGAGTTTCTTAATTGTTGTTTTCCTCTACTTTCAAATATGTCAACCACCTAGAAATTTTGTCAGTGAGAACAACTAATTTATTGAAAACTGAGTCTTTAAGACTCTAGAAATTACAGATTTTTTGTTTAGTTATGACAATGACTTACTGTCATGATTTCCTTTCCTTTCCTTCACCAGGTGACTCAATTCACAGGCACTGAACCATCATTTCTCACAAGTTTCTTTTTGTTCAGTCAGGTACCAAGTTTGACCTTGTTAGGATTCCTTTACCAAGATGATAAACACTCTACAGAGGATTTAACTCATTCTTTTGCCCTAAATAAATTGAGTACCTGGCAAAGCAGATAAGATGCTGACATCAGCTGCATTTTGTTGTGAAAAAAAAAAAAAAAAAAACATGACAAGGTACTTTTCAAGGGCAGAAATGGAATCTGAGCACTTCTTCTGACACTGAATTAAACTGTAATTCATTTTCACTATAATACACATCTGCCCAAGTATGACCTTTCTTGCTGAGCAATGTTTTGGACATTACTTGATAGTTTCTATCCTGCGTGGTAAGATACCTTCCAGAAAGCCCAGCAAAATAGATCTAGGCCCTCTAGAAGGGCAGCATGGCTTTAGACCTTGCCTGGGATTTAGGAAAAGGCCTGTTGGCATCTTAGATCTGCCACTAACTCCCAAATGACCTGGCATCAATGAGAAAATCTAATGAACTCTCTGCTCCCAAATTAGACCTATGATCTCTGAGCTTAGCAAAGAGTCACTCTACCCAAGTGGCTCAGAGGCTGAGCAGCCCACCTGAGAGGTGCCCAGCTGTCCTGGCACCTGTGATATAATTCTCCACTTGTCATGCACAGCTGATTCCCTCCCAGAATGCCATCCTAAGCATTGGGATTGGCCTCCCAGCTGAGCTCCCAGCAGCCATGGGGCCTCAACAGGCCTCTCTTCCCAGCATGCTTCACTCTTGTTGGTTGACACATGTTGCTCTAGGGAGACAGGCCTGTGCCATTGCCCATGAGAGCCTGGCACAGTTCCCCTCCTAGAATCAAGCCCTCACAGCATATCAGGGTAGGAAACTTTGAACACTCATCTCTTCCCACAGAGTTACCAATATCATTGTCTTCAACATTTTCTCCCCACTGAAGATTTTCTTTTAACACCTCTTCATGTAGGCCAGATGTAGAAACAAGTGAAGGTGCTTGGGTTGAAGGTGACCCTGAAGCCCACGCTGCTACCTCATTCTCCTCAGTCACCTCAGAGGTCACACTTGGCAGGGAGACAGCTTGCGTATTACTTACGTCCCCATTGTCATTGCACTCATAAGGACACTGATGTAAAGGACAAGGCTCACACTCTGACCTCTGAGCTCTCAACCCCAGTTACCTGACACATATGGCTGAATACTGTTCACTGTTTTCAAGATGCCCTTTCCCATCACCCCCAGATAATGCATTTTCCTGACTATGAGTCAGGAATAATATGAATATACCAGGCCGCCTCTAGTTCACTCAAAACCCCTCTCCAATAATCCATTTTTTTCATCTGTTCAGTGAAAGAATAAATTAAATGGTCCCATAAATTCTAGAATTCCAAGTCATTCCTTCTTGCCAGAACTTTCCAGATGATTTTATCAAATCCTCATTATCCTAGCTGTAATGATGTCAAAAAACAGCAATAGTGTGTTACTACTTCCCCTTCTTAAAGTTCCATGGCAGTGAGCACTCCTGTAAGAGCCCAGGTCTGCTAGGGATACCCTAGTGACTATCATTTAAAGAAAACTTATAAATGTACCATGCCAATTATCCTTTTCCAAACAAATTTACATTGATTTCCCTTTGATGGGTTAATATCCAGTTTTGAG